TAAAAAATTGCACTTTATTACATCTTCAGATATGCAAAATAAATCTGCCAAAGAACACCAGCATGTGTTTTAAAATACCGTATTTCCGTGGCAAACGACTTTTAACCCGCTGCCATCTTACAATTGATACAAAGAGAAATTATGAACGACGTAGGAGTAATTCAAATAATATACAGAGTAGTAATAAACTCGGAAGGTACACATTTGAAAATGACAAAGACTGGTAGTAATTCAGAAAAATTTACGTATGATAAATCAGAAAACACGTAGATACACTTGGAAAAGGATTTAAAGGTTCAAGGAGGAAATATATATACAAACACACATTACACAGTTGGGGTTCTAAGAAAAATGTAACGCTTCATTTTGAGAGTTTTGGAAGAGTTGGTGACACAAAATAAAAGAATAATTAACATTTTTTGTTTGCACACAGCATTTAAAATTTGATAGAGCATTATAAAATTCCCTGGAAGTCTTGTGACCAAATAACGAGTGAGAGCTATTTCTTTCAAAAACAGCACTGGACATCATAATTCAACAACCACTCACAAAGAGCCAGAGTGGTGAGGTTTTTCAACAAAGTGCAAATAAAGGACGCAACAAATAAACTCTAAATTCTGTAATATATAAAACTAGACTTTATCTTCAGATTTCTGCGCTGGAAGCTCGCTATTTGAACATAAATGTATGTATGCAAAAAATAATCTGTAGTTTGGCAAATATTAGTAAAAACATACTAGCAAACTTATTGCATTAAGTCCTTCATCGTTACAAATCTCTTTTATCATTAAAATCTTGATGCCATTTTTTTTTTAAATTTGAAAAATATATATATACTGTATTTCGAACTTTATTAGAAGTACTGAGGTGTTCCTAACTATATTAAAAGTTAGGAACCATGACACTTTTTTATTTAAATAATAATTTATATTAATATTAAATAATTATTTATTTATATTTAAATAATAAAGATAAATTTCTTGTTAATAAGGAATAAAATATCTTCCTTAAAATTTTCTAAATTATAATAGTTTTAAGATGTTTTTCTAAAAATTTACGTAACTAATGTTACATATACAACAGCTATAATCTTGATTCACGTATACTCATTTAATATTAAATAACGAAGAATTAAAAGAGTTCTAACAGATTCTAATATTATTCTCTAATAGTTTACTACACCTTTTAGACACTTTTAAGAATGTAGTAGTAATCACATTTCGCCCCCGTTGAGTTACTTAATGCTACATCTTCACTACTCATATTTAAAATTTTAATAAAAAAGAAAACACTGTAAAAAAAAAGAATTTTATAAAAATTCGAAAACATCAAGATTTTAATGATAAAAGATGCATCTTTTATTGCTAAAACAGAGATGAGCTCTTATTGGCATTTGAAAAAAATCACAAACTAAAACTCTTTTTACAATTATTTTAACAGATTATTTACGAATAAACAGAAAACAATTAATTTAAAACAACATCATTTCTAAGTCCTCTAAATTTACTTCTCCATTAAGAATTCAAACAATTTTTAAAGTACTATATTATGGAAGACCTTTTTATATTTTGAATGACAGTTTCTTTAAATTATCGATAAGGATTATGGGATTTCTAATTAAGTTTGATAACTTATGGGAATTCAGAAATAGCTGAAAGCTACTGTATTCAAAGAAGTTAATTTAAATCCTGCTCTTGGAATATTATAATATTATTCTATATTACTGTACATGACAGCATATGAAATTCAACTTTTCAAAAATGCACTCGATTCAGATTTGCTCATTTTTGAGTTGATGAGTTCTTATAATTAGGTACACTTTAAAACACTTTTTATAACTTAAAAAATAAGCTAAAAGAATTAAGTTGGGAAAAAAATTGCACAAAAATGAAAATGAACCGTTCAAAATAATATACACAGTTTTAAAACGTGGAATTTAAAACTACCTTTCATTAGCTACTATTAAGGTTTAGTATAGCACTATACTCTCGGGAAGACCCAAAAAGGATAAAATCTTTTCATCTTTCTTTTCTTTTAATAGCTAGTATTTTGAGAAAGAACTAAAGAGTATAAGATATTTTCTTCAGTATTTTGTTTTTAAACCAGTCTATTCATACATTTGGCACATAAGTCAAATTTAATCGTATGCTCTAATTTTGCATATTTATACACAAAAGAAGTAAAATAGGATAAATATTTCAAGAATTCAAAATTCAATAAACAAGCTTATCTCTGTAAAAGCACATGCACATTTGCATGTATATCATTGCATCATATTATGACTAGCAAGAAAAAGTTTACAAAAAGCAGACATATACAAACTATTTTGGCACTCTACTCTACAAAAAAGCACCTTTGTTGATGGAAACATTATTCAGCATAATATTATATATAGACATGGCAACAGCACCTTCTGGACGAGAGTTATGGCTATATAAGAGCAATTCGTTGCAAAGAGAAATATATATAATGATAATATCTTTGGTTTTGTACAGTGGCAAAAGGAATAACAAGGGCTTTGTTAATAAAAATATTACTAGTAAATGTGTTACAAAACAGTGGAATCTAAGCAATATTCTACAAGAACAATACTAGACAAAAACATTTGTTACAGATACACAGCTTGTACTCATTGATTTTTTTTTACTGTTTAAAGTAAAGAAAGCCATAAGTGTAAAGAAAATTTAAATTTTCTTCAGTAAAAACAAATTACGAAACAATAACACATAGTTAAATGACAAGTTAATAAACTACCCATTTTTCTCAGAATTTATCCAATTTTATCATTTTTCTTTAAGAGAATAGAATTTTTTTTACTAACCTTCTTAACAATTGCATATCAAATAATTTATTTTATGTCATTACATTTTTTAAAATTTTATTCAAATAATGAGACTTATCTCATGTTTAACAGTAAGACTTTACAGAAAGATTGTATTGGATATAAAAGTCATTATTTTTTCTACCAGTAGAGAGATAAAACGATTAAAATTCTTTAAAGGATTTAAAAGTAAATTATTTAAAAAAAAAAAAGGTTTATTTATATTTTTAAAAAATGACACATTTTGGTAATAGAAATGAGTATACTCACAACTTAACAACGATATAGTCACATTTTGATGAATTCCGTAATGTATCTTTGAAATTCTTATGTAAGACATCAGTATGAAAAATGAATTTGCCAAAAGGTTTTTCATTTGGAAGGAAAAATATTTTCTTGCTAAATAAACTTATGTTGTTATTTCATTACCAAAATTACAATACTTACCACAGTTACAGGGATTTCATGAAGAATATTTTAATTCGCAACCCTACTTATACTCTCAAATAGTAATTTTGAAATGTTTTCCTTAAAAATATGTCAATCTGCTGAGAAGACTTACTTTGAAAAATACGTTTTTTTTTGTTTTTTGTTTTTTTTTGTTTCAATGTTGCAAAAAGGTGGCAACAAAATTAGGGGAACTTTTTGTTTTTTGAAATACAATTATTAAACTCTAAAGAAACTTTTGTTTAATCTTCCGAAATTTGAAAAAAAAATATTTAATATTTGGCACACTGAATAATTATTACGATTTCCGAAAATATAATAGCTGAATTCTCAAATTAAAAAAGGTGATAACACTGAAAAAAGTAATAATTTACAGTCGCAATGAATTTAGTAGTCACAAAAAGCGAATAAATAATTATGTAAGAAAAAGGAAAATAAAATGAACTTAAAGCGACGAAGTTCTTAAATATTACTAATATGCTTATTTTAATTTCTATATAAAAGTTATATAATATTTAGTATTTTAATTGGGAAAAATATATAAATTTCAATACAGCTCCCTTGTTTTCCCCGCAGCAGAACCAGAAATAATGTTCATTTTTAAAAAATTGCTATTCTTGCTACAAAGAGAACTTGTATAACACAAATATATTGCAAGTGAGTATACAGTGATACAATAGCAAAGTATTTAATCTAGGTAAAAAAAAAATATAGTTTAGATCCTTATTCCAGAAAACAATAGGAATGTAGTATGAAATAAAACAACTAAAAATATTCTTAAAAAAGACAGCAACAATCTCAGTATGCATGAAGCTACATTCTAAACTTAAAACAAATCATCAACAGATATCATAACAAAAAAACATACGCAATCTTTGGCATACATAATCAGATCTAGATACAGAATCCATATATTTTTGTACAAGAATAGAGGCCACCGTATAATTAGCTAGAAACACATAAGATCATGGTTTTACAACATAACATACTTGGAAATATAGTTTTACAAATTTCTTAGCACACTAGAAATATAGAGCATCATATTATATTCCACATAAAGGCTCTAAACATACAATAAGTAATTTACAAAGATGCAGGCAAATATTAACGTTCAGAAAAAAAAAATCAGTAACAAAACCACAAATAATTCCTACATCATTTTGTAAAAATAATTATGGATCTTGTGAAGCGCATTTTAAGATCACAAAGAATTTTTTTCTGTGTCCATTCAAGATCCTACATTTTCATTAGAAATAAAAAATATTCATAATATTCAAGAAATATCATCTAAATTACAGTATCCTCGTTGTGAATATATCATTACTTTGGTTTACAGCAAGGAATATATAGTTGAACAATTTCACATCAATTAAATTCTCTCAAAAATAAAAACAAAAACATTAAACAATAATGCTATTATATTTTCATACCATTTTCATATGGTATGCATCACCTTCAGCCTTCATATAAAACTTTTTGTACGAAATTTAGTGCTCTTTTTCATAATTATATAACACTGCTTAATTTTGCTGACCATCAGTATATATTTACTGATTTTCCTTTTACAAAAGCAGTTTTACCTAGCAACTTAACAATGAATGCAGTGTAAAAATAATACAAAGCTGATAAAGTTCAACAGCACATATAAAGAAGGGATTTATTAACAAATCTGCAAGGTCTCTTCACATTTCAAGCGAGTTTCTCTGAAACGTTTTGGAAAATTAAAATTAAAAAAAGAACTTTGATTTTCTTTATACTGAATCTTACCCAATCTTTATACTGAATGCCAATGATCTAATGAAAAGCATATTTATGCGGTAAATATATGACGTAGAGAATATTCGAAGATCAGGCTTGTGGAAAGGAGGCATAAAACACAGGAAGATCACTCATGATAGGGTTTACAGTAACTGTATCGGTGATTCATGTGCTGGCTATAGGATCCTGAGTGGGAAAACCTCTTGAGACACTTTTTGCACTGGAATGGTTTTTCACCACTGTGCAGGCGCTTGTGTTCCGTTAAATGATGTTTATGCTTAAACGCCTTGCTGCATACGTCACACTTGTGTGGCCTTTGACCTGAGAAAATGCCAACACATTAATGAATGAAGAGATAATCAAAATTCCTTCAAAATTTAAAATCATATTATTCAAATGCAAAAATGATTACAGATAAACATTAAATTCAGGATTCGAGGATCTAAACACTTTGATTTTTCCATATCTCCAATCCTACACTGCAAAAGCGGCTACTTTCTTATTATCTACACACCCGTCTCGAAAACTCGCCAACTAAGCTAATGCCCCAACAGCCATTTTCAAAATGACGGCGCGTTAAAAATTCCATAAAATCAATAAAATTGGAAAAGAAAGAAACATCAATAATAAAACACTTATCTTTTTCGAGATATCATTCTTTTGTTCTCCCCGTGTACGCAGCTATTTGTTTTACCTTAAAAAACATCAGAGAATTACACGAATTCCGCATCTTACAACATCGACATTGCCAGTCGGCGAAAACAGACATGTATTCTGCGTATATTGGGTTTACCATAAAAACACGTTCCGGTGATTTCATGAGTTGCCAGATATCAGTTTTAGCGGCATTTTGCTTTGAACCACGAATACTTTTTCGTGACTTTTCGGTGGAGGTAAGTGCAAAATATTACTCGAAACTTCGGATAGCTTACATTTATTGACGTCCAGAAGAATCTTTTAATAAAAAATCTGATATGGATACCGTAGGACTTCTTTATACGGCAGCCACTACATTTAAATTTATTTCTTCAAATTAATCTAACTTAATTAACCGATCTCTCACAGCAAGCTGAAAATGACATCATAAACTGAAAATTTTGAAATTAAATAACACAGTTAGTTTTTGTCATACGGGTGTCAAATTTCTTCCAATTTTATTTTTTTCACGAGTATAAAACTTTCCCAAATACAAGCACAGGAACCGGAAGACCGTATTAAAAATTAGATTTCTTTATTTGTTTTTTTTTTCTTTCTTTATTTCGCAAAAACATGAAAATTTTCATCATTTAAAATTTTTTGGTAATTGAAAGTATATGAGTACGACTAACGATTACGAAAATGAAGACCGAGAAAGGACTTTTAAGCAAGGTAAGGAAGTGGGTATTCCCGACCCGTCTGGTTCTGTCGATTGCAATAAAAAAGGAAGGTGCAGAACTAGATATTATAGCAGTCCCTTACAAAATTTCAACGTTCTACAACTAATCATTTTTGAGTTCGCAAAATATATTCATACCATACATACGTCAAGAAATAATCCCCTTTGAATCCATTTTACAATCCGTTTTCGAAAAACTCTCCTTTTCTTCTGTCCGTAAGTACAGATGTCAAGCAAAAAGACCTCCAAATGGATTCGGGAATGGTCTAAATAAATATTTTTGTTGAAATATGATACCCGATTTTTTTTTTCCCGATTATAATACTTCCTTACTTCGAACAACGAAGTAGAAAAGTGCGCTAATTTGCACTTATCAGTAGAACCTACAAATTTTCACTTCGCGACGAATCTGAGTATCGTACTTTAGTGTGTCGTCTAGCGAAGTTTTTTAGAATTTGTTTCCCTTTCCCGAAAATTCTCGGAATGATTTCCCTAATTAACTCCATAATTCTCGATACATATAAACTAGTAGTTTCTGGATGTTTCGGGCAAATCAAGATATGGTACAAAACGCTGCGTAGCGCACAATTCTATTAATCCACCAAGTGAGACATTCAGCCACAGCTTTCTACCAAATTGTACTTCAAAAATGAATCTCAGCTCTTAATACGATCTGCTTATTTTTATTATTTGTATTCTTGAGTATGTTTTCCAGCAAATGCAAATTTCAGATTTTCCTTGGTTTAAAATTTTTAGCATTCAGATAAAAGTCTTTTCTTATTACCATAGAAAGTGAAAAATCCGAGCGTGTAATAACCGAACCTTCAACCAAAAAATAAATAAATAATTTAAAGCCCCCCCCCCAAAAAAAACTGAAATGTTTCAGATTTTAAATTATGTCCAAAGGGGCGTTTTGTGTGTTACCTCTATTTATTAAATATTATGTTCTACGTACTCAAACCATAAAATTCAAAAATTCGTTAAAATGTTACAAAATTTCAAATTCAAATTGCTCAAGAAAGCAAACAATACATCTAAGAAACATAAACATCAAAAATATAAATTCTCCCACAAGCACATTAAATTTTTCAAGTTAGTTTATGTATAGAGTAACATAACAATTTTAAAAGAAGGATAACGCGTTAATTTATCACATACTTGTATTTGAGCCAATGGGAAAGTTTAATCTGACAGATTCACTCCAGGAGTGGCAGAGGAATAAAGGGTACGATTTTACAAATAACTTGTAAGGATTATGTTAATTTTATTAACAGTTAAATTTTGAGTTACAGTTCCTTTCCTGCCGATTCTTAACTTCAACTTACTACTCCCGGCCAAAATGTAGTTTTAGAATCACGTCTGAATATATAATGAGGAAGAGCGGTATTTAACCGCGAAGTTCTTCGTTCTTAGGGAGAGAGTTACCAGGTACGCCTTTAGGTACTGTGGCTACTCTCTTGTAAGCTATTATTACGCTCGGCCGTACTTAGGCCCTTGATAGCTTCGCAGTCTATTAGCATTAAGGGGCCAACTCGGTTAGAATCTGGATAGCTTCGGCTATATCTCTTTAGTTTAGATTAGTTTTAGTTTACTTCTTAGCCTCTTAAGTTCAAGCCCAAGTTGTTGGCTTTTATTGTACACTCCAAGATGGAGTTCTGTTAAATCTTATTTGAATAATAAAGGGTTATTTACCCTTCCATCTTGTTGTTTCTTGTCACACGAACTCAAGCGATTATTCGCTTATCAGTTCTTAAGATTTTTCACGCTCAACTGTAACGTAGCATTTACAAGTGGGAACTCTGCAAACTTAAACTGATCAAACTGGCACATCGAACGATTCCGTTTAGAACTCAACTTCAGAAGAATAACGCTATTAAAAGTTACTTCAGTAGTTACCTGAGTGCTCGTATTTATGTCTTGCTAGAGAGCTTTGCTTGCTGAACATTTTATCACACTGGTCACAAGCATACATGCCTTCCTCACTCTCGACTTTGTGCAACTTCCACGACTTTCTCATCTTCCCCGAACCTCCCGAGGAGTCTTCCTCAGCTCCAGGACTATCTTCTAATGTGCTCTCGTCTCCTTCTCCCTGAAATGTTTCAGAAATATTATGAAAAATAAGGAACACTCCTAATGTGCACATCAAATTTGCAATTCGTCATTAATGCAGACATTAAATATATTTTATGCTGACAGACACTTAACCTTTTTTTCTCTTCTGAATCTTTGATATTCATGTCAAATGAAATCAAAGTTTATTCACTTACAAAATTTAAGATGGTACAAAAGAGTTCATATTAAAACAATGCTCTTAAGGGAGGATACGTTACGTCATTTAACCTTCCAGCACGCGCGTATGCGCAAAATTTAAGACAAATTCAGTTTTTAATGCACATTTTTCGCATATCGAGGCTGAGACTTCTTCAAGTCATTTCTATTCCTCGTTTCTAACCTTCCCCTCATCACGGAATGTGCCAACAGGAAGTCATTTGACTTTTTTTTTTTTTTTTAACTGGGCTTTTGTGCTACGTGGCAGTGTTTTCATAAAATTCGGATAATATATTTTTTCTCAAATATTTTGTAATTTTCTGTTATTAATTGCTGTTTATTCTTTTAATTTGAATACATCTGGCTCTGTAAATTTTATATCGGTTTTCATGGCAAAAAAATACGTGTAACCAGCTGATTTTGCTCGATTTCTTCAAGAATTATCTCACGAAGAAAGCGAAGACTAGGAAACCTTCGGATGGGAGAACAATAGCGATTTCCATTCCTTATTTTCTTTTATTTCTATGTTTTAGAAATAAATAAATATATTAAAGTTAGTTTAAAGTGCGTTTTGTAACCAGTAAGAAGTATATTTCCTTACAGAAGTAAGTAATGCTAAACCTACTTTTCTTCCTACCAATGTGTTTTACTTTTTTATTTGTCTATACTTGCCTTTGATGAATATTAAATTTAGCTTCGATATTAAAATATAAGCATTAAATAATAAATTTAAAGATTACTTCCAGCAAATTAATTCATTCGAAAAACCAATAGATGTCGCCCACCCAATCTATTTTACAAATATTCTTCATTTACGATTGTCTCAGTAATGAAAGCATAGATGATTTTTTTTTTCCTTTCTTTCTTTTTTTTTTTTCTTTTTTTTAATATTTAGTCTGTCAGCAACTGGATAAAACCTTTCATTAAAATAATTTTTAAAGATTTAATGAGTACTATTAATTGTACTTTTGGTTATCTGAGATTAAAATACTCTCTGTAATATAATTTCTATCCCTCATGATGCAGAAAAGAGAAAAATAAGGTTAAACCTAAGCGCACATACGAAAGTAATGCAACAATATCACAGTTCAATACCTTCTGTAAAGATAAGCTTCTTACTGTTTCTGCATCAAAATCAAGAGTAATAATATTTTAGAAACCGGGAAAATGCTTATCAGAAATTCGTCAATTATACTCGTATTCAGAAGCTAAAATATAAAAAATAAAAGTATACGTACGCTTGTGCTTCCAAAAGAAGTATCCTACGCTTGAAGAAAAAAACGTCAAAAATGGCAATTCCATGAAACTTCTAGTATATAAAGGATTCTGACTGCGGACTATGTTCTCATACCTCAAGCTCATGTATGGAACAGTAATAAAAAGATAAAAGAAAAATTTTGTAAGCCATCTTACTGAGCAACTGAACATTGACGTGATGTCCTGAGAATAGACTTATTGGGGGGGATAAAGAAAAGTCTGAAGGGTTTCAGATTTTAATTGTCGCTCAAAAGAGTTCGTTTAGTTTTTTTTTTTTTTTTTTTTTTTTTTTACGCTATCGCAGAGCTCGCAGTCTACCAGCCTGTTGTTGCACTCACTGCTGTGAAGCCTTTTTTTTTTTTTTTTTTTTTTTTTTTCCCAAAATGCGAGAAACATACATACATAAATGCCAGTGGTGTGCGATAGGTTTTCATGCACGGTGTGCAGAGGACAACAAGAATAATAATAAAACCATAAAATTATACATTAAACACTTCTTTAACTTTTTATTATTCATTTGTACACAAAATCCATACGTCTATCCGCATTACTAACAAAATCATCAATTACGTGATCATAAAACTTTGTTTTGACTGTAATAAGTGCATTTCTTTTTCTATTGTTATTAGAGATAAATTGCTTAATCTATCCTGGCTCGTTGTATTGCGTGCATAATTTTTTACTCTTTTCAGTGCTGAAAATGATCTCTCCACCGAAGCAGTTGAAAATGGAATTGTACAAATTAAATGTGCCAATTTATTTACTTCGCATTACAGCATTATATGCTGAATAAGTTTCGATAAATTCATTTCGTGGTATGACTAACTGCGATAACGAACGCGTAATTCATTGGTTAGCTTTACAAAATCGGAATGTTTCGCTTAAGCGTTCTTTAACGAATTAAGAACAATTTCATCATGGCTTATAAATCCGTCCAAGAGCATCTTCTCTTGCCGACCTGAGAAACAGCGTTCCCCCCCCCAAACCCCAAACTGTCCAGCTTTTCGATCATCAACGTCCTTAAATCGCAAATTTCTTCTACGATATTTTTAATTTTCATTCCTGTTTGTGCGGATAATACTGGTCTCAACCATACGAACAGTTTGAGAAGAGGCCAGCTGCAAAATCATATCAGGATCCTCCGAAGGCATATCTGGCAGCGTATTTGCAATCTTCTTTTGGTTTCTAATTTTTAATCAACTATTTCGAGTAGTCACCTCGCTATTGAGACAATATCGTTAGCCTCGGTTACCCGGTCGGCTGAAAATTCCCATCGTTGCAAACGCTTGCAGAAGGATTCAGTTGGCTCGGACATGTATCCAATTTTGCCATCATATTGGCAAATATATTCTTACGAATTTCGTATTTAGTTGCACATATTTTAGTAGAATTAATTAAAATTGTTTTATATCTCCACACAATGCAGCACGAGACTTACTGAAGAGAAAGCTACGCCGAAAAATTTAAAATACAGAAACACGCGCATTTAATAAATAGTGTGTGTGTGTGTGTGATTATTGCAAAGCCTCGAGGGCTATCTGCCTAAGGGTAGGGATGCCTTCGTGGAGGACTTTCTAAGGGAAACTGACTCGTATACACGTTACACATGGGGAAAACCACGAAAACACCCATGCAGCCAGCCCGTTCGCGGGATTCGAACCTCGGACCGAACCTACCAGTGTTCAGCGACTTTACCGCTCGGCCGCTGGTGGGCCATTTAATAAATAGATATCTCATAATTGTACGCTTTCGCTTTCCGGAAAAATCGAGAAAATACGAGAAGATTCTCATTCGTGATTAACAATTGAATTGAGATGTTTTATGTTTTGTTTAGAAAACTGTTGTTGTTTACTCTAGCGAATTCAGATTAGCTTTCTCTACGTTTCTCTGTTTTGAATTATGTTCTGTAAAACGTTTTTAGTAGTTTAAAATATAATTACTGTGAGATATTGCGATATTGTACGAATATCTCTGAGGATATTTCAGCATTTTGTTTTATTTGTTGTGATTAAAATAAATTCCATTTGTATTTCATCGGACTTGTGCATTCAATTTATTACGAACCCCTACGCACACAACAGTACATATGTTACGGTGAAACACCGAAATCTGGAGAATGTCGACTTTTACCGGTGAATGTCAACATTCACATAGTCACTTGGTGCATGTCCGAAATATTTTCCAAATACTCTTATTTTTGACTTCCACCGGTCAATGTCGACATTCACCATGAACTAATGGTGAATGTTGAACATATAACAATATTATATTTCCTTCTCCGTAATTCATTCACGAAAAAACGCACTTGAGACTCAGAATAAGAACTTAAGAACATAAGAACTTAAAACACACAGTGCACTCAAAATGAGAAAGAAAATAATAGAAGTTATAAACTTACCAAATTATGTGATTCAAATCTTATTTATTTAAACTATTACGACACTTTGAGTTGCACAAGAGGCCCTTGCTTTTACAACTGCATTTATTTGTGGAACACTTATTTTGGAATGGCAGCGTGTACATATACTCCTCTCTTTTCGACCTACACCAGAGCATATCTGTGATTGTCGACATACACCGGTGAGGGTCCGAATCTACAAGAATGTAAAGAAATATTCGACCTTTCACCGACGTATTTGGTGAATGTTGACATTCTCCGGTGAAAGTCGACATTCTCCAATTCCGGTCTTTCACGGTAACATATACTCAGCAATATAACATACAAAGTTAAGAAGAAAATATTTACAAATAAAACTTTAAGCTAAAATCATACGTACAATTAAAACATTAATCACAATTAAAAATCAAATATTCAATTACATGTGGAATAAAAGTAACAAAACACCAATTATAAGGTCACACACATTTAAATTCAGTGTCCAACAGCGGTCGGTTTTCAGTTACACATAATTACATTCGCATATACAACATACACGTAATGTAAAATAACAGAAAATATCGCCAGATAAATACACACACACAAAAAAAAAAGTTCTGAAAGGTTTCAGTTTTTAAATTATGTCCAAAGAGACGTTTCTTTAACATTTTTTGTGTTATCTTTATTAATTAAATATCATGTTCTTCGCACTTAAACCATAAAATTCAGTTCAAGAGCAATATCGCAAAACAATTTTAAATTGAGCATATCTTTAGAATTTAACGTTGTCATTGCTCCCTTTGAAATCCTTGAGTTTGTTAATCAAAAATTCGTTAAAGTTTTACAAAATAGGAAATCGATAATAAAACAATTTCCAAATTTCGGATTTGGCTTTCCAGACGCTCATATTCGCAGTAGGAATACGTCATTCAAAATTGAATGGTTCTAAGTACCGTTATTTTATCTCTACAAGAGAAACATATATACATTTATGTAGATTCTTTGTTATTTATTTTCTTTAAATATAAAACATGGCGATAATATTTAGTGGCAACAGTTTGAAAAGTGAAACGAACATTCAAGAGGGATTCGACGCAAAATCGCAAAACGAAAACAATAGTCCTTTAGAGATAAAGCCCCTTTTGGACTAATAAATCTCAAAAGCTATTTAAGATAAATACTATTTCAAAAATAAAAGAATTCTGTGCAAACTATTAGATAATAGTCGATAGGCTAAGAGACAAGACCGTGGTGCAAAAGCACACGAACTTTCGAAAAGTACAATTCAGAAATAATGTATTAAAGCGATTATAAGTCTGAAATAAGATAAAAATATAATATATATATATATAATATAGAATAAGTGTTCAAATAATCTTTCACAACGTTGAAATTATACGATTTATGGAATATAAGATTTATGAAAGTACTAAAATCTCCGGTAATATGCACTTGCAAATAAATCCAAAAATTCACAGAATTACATTTAACTACAAACAAATACCCCTGATAAGTGTGAAATTACATTATAAAGCCCTTTCAATACAAATATAGTAATGCACAAAGAATTATAAAGTTTTTGAAACCTTTAAAGCTCCGCTAATACGCACATGCAAATAACCTAGAAATTCACAAAATTGCATGAAATTACAAATAAATACCACTATTATATGTGAATTCAATCATCCATTAAAAGTTGGTGCAAACAATAAATATTATATAAAATCATTTGCAAAATACTAAAAGAGAAATAAGACAGTACTTACAATGGCTAATCTTTAGGATATGGTAACAGGTAGTTTGGCGACATTTTGGTAAGGAGATAAAGGTTACTAGCTAGGACTAGCAAAAATCTGAGAAGTACACAATTTCAATTACAGATTATTTTTGTCTCAGAGAAATGAGAGATTATAAGACATGTAATCTGACATTTTCCGGAAAATTCCGATTGTGATTTTAGCTAATAAGCACTTAGAAACAATTTCGCTGCTAAAGTGCAGAATCGCCCACTTATTTGTTTGGCGCTTTTTACAAGAGTAAGAAGAATTGGATTTTTGTTAATTTTCTTTGACTTTTTAAGTGAAAATAGGTAAATGTGTACATGGATAAAGGCATGAGTGTGCACAATGCCATTTTTGTGCAATTCTGGGATATTTTTTCGAAGTGAAAATAGGTCGACGTGTACATGGATACCATGTATGTGCAATTTTTAAAAACGCGGCAAGCAATTTGCGATTCTGCACTTTCTCCCAATTTCGCACCTAATCGTCGTCATGATTAAGCAATTTTGTTCCATAAAAGTTCTAGCATAAAGCGTAATTCGGCTAGCAGATTGTTGGAAAAAATGTTGAGTTAAAAAAAAAAAAAATGCCTTTAATCCGTGAAAACAAAATGGCGTCCAAAACAAAGCTAGCAGGTTGCTGTAGCAGGGTTGGTCGCCAAATTTTCGCCAAATAATCGCCAAGTTACCATAATGTAAAGATTTACCCTTACAATTCTAATAAAACCAAATACATCCAATTTAATCTCATGTAAGTTCCAAGCAAAATGTAAACAAGCCATGTCAGTCGGCCTATACTCGATCGCCGAAATCTCACATCGCCGAATAATTAAAAAAAAAAAAAAAAAAAAAAAAAAAAAAAAGATCGAAAGCATCAAAATAACGATAATTTACAATACCGGAGCACAAATATGCTAGGAATCAATCATTTGCATTACTAAACTACCAAAATATAAACATAATTTACAGAGCTCATAGAAGCACAATCCAATATAGACGCGGGTATGCGTAGAACTCCATAACTAGGGTCGTACAAAGAAGCCAACATCTAAAACGCTTCGGCAAAAGAATGGCCTCATGGTCCAAGTGGATGGTCCCCGTCACACCCATGGAGGTAGGAAAGGAAGGAGGGGGCCAGTCGGCACTAGAAGTGAAGCACTACTTTGAAGCTTGGGTCACCAGATGGGGTGTTCTTTGTTTACATTCAGAAGCTCGCTTGATTCTGATAGTATTTCGACACACGACAGCTCCATACAAATCGAAAAAGGGACCCTTTCGCATGAAAGAAACATTCATAGTGTGATGGATAATAGCAATTTGTACAGTTTAGTGACATTTACGCAAAAATCACATCTTCGTTATTTTTCGATAACTAACAACAGCGCGATTTTGATTATGAATTTGTTTTATAAAATTCTAAGCTGTTGAACTACAAAAATATAGATTTTAAGAAAAATGTTATGCTTAAAGAATGAGAAATACCTTACGGTACATTTAAAGTTGTATACGTCTTTCGATAGCCTTGATAGAGTATTCGCTACTTTTATTTTATTTTCCAAACGCCAAAATGTTTTAAATAAAACAAATTTTTTTCACATCTATATATTATTGACTTATATTTTTCGATTTAAAAGATGCCTCAGTAGCCAAAAAATCATGTCATATTTAAGAAAGAATTTTAGGAAGAAGCTCTATAAATAGAAAAGAAATAATGCATAATTTTAATATTGATAATGCAATAAACTTTGATCTTAATTTTTGTACCTTAAGCGAATAAAATCGAATTACCTTAATTTTTTTTCTAATGTAATTAACGAAAACTTGCGAAAATAATTCATTCAAATTAGACCATTCTGAGCAAACTGTTCTGTGAAAAGTATAACGTTTAATTCCATTCAGAATGAAATGTTGTTTAAAAAAATGTTGTTTTCATATACTTACTACTCTGAAGTGTTGTAGAAAAAGAAAATATATACATTTATATGTATATTTACGACGTAATTACAAAACCTTTACATCCGATCGCGTCAAAACCCATTGAACTTAATGGTAAATGACCCAATGTTTTGGTCACCAAGTAAGGATCGCCGGTGCTTCAGAGCAGGGTACGGGAAAAACTTGTTTAGGGCAACTCCATCTTACTTCCTACCTCCATGGTCACACCACAAACGAGGGCAATCGACGATCTGATCGGTTCCCCAAAGCGTAAATAAACCGCTAGAACATGTATAAGAAAAAGCTATCATTTACCTACGCCTAAGGAAATTAGGCTGTGGATCTCGAATAACAAAAAAAGTTAATAAAAACAATAAAAATACAGCCAGCAAGATTGAACAAACATACTCATTCATGTAAATCAACTACAAAATGCAAAGCCTGCGAGACGGCACAAAAGAAGAAAACATAAAAAAACTATAAGAAAAATGGTGATTATTTAATAAAAACATAAAAATAAGGAAGAAAACACAAAAACTATATGCAACAACCAACCTCAAAATATACACACATAAAAAAAAGAATATTTACGCCAAAATGCCAACCAACTCTCTGCTTTGGTTAATAAAAGCCATCAGGGCTCTCGTAAATCCATTGAAATGCTTGATATCCACAGATAGGTAATTATTTATAGAAATAGCAGAAGATTTCTGATACAAGCAATTTAATGGGGAGTCAAATACAAAATGGCTTGCATCACATGATACCAAAAATATAAACACAAATCGTTGATTTGTATGTAGAATCTACATATATCCCTTGTCAGAAGAGTTCCAGGACTGTTTTGTTATTTTTGAGTTTGCAGTACTAAAAGGGAACAAATTTTGTTTTTATGTTACACGGTATGTATTCTTACTTGGTCATGTCTCCAAGCAAACTTACCAGGGGGCAGGGCTGTTCTTAGCAACAAACTAATCGGATGCTTGTCGCATCCGTTAAGGTGACGCAATGGATGCTGATTGTGAGCAAAGAGTGAACATTAAGTTCTGGGTTAAGCTTGGGAAAACCCCTAGTAAAACGTGGAACATGATTAAGCGAGCATATGCAGGCGAGGCACTTTCAAGAAGCTGTGTTTTCGAGTGGCACAAAAGGCTTCGTGAAAGCAGAGATTCCGTGCAAGACGATACCAGAGCTGGTCTCTCGTCTATAGCACATACCGATGCAAACGTGGAGCGTGTAAAGCATTTATTGCAAGATGGAAAGCATTTATTGCAAGAATGGCCTCAGGGTCCAAGTGGATGGTCCCCGTCACACCACAAACGAGGGCAATCGACAATGACTGTCCTGAAACTGTGTGTATAATATCAGAAGAACTGAATTTGAATCGTGATGTCTGTTATAAGATTTTACGCGAAGATTTAGGGAAACAGAAACCTATGCAAGAATCGTCCATCACTCAATAAAAGATGAACAGAAAGAGGAAAGACAAAGAATTTCTGCTAAGCTATTAGATAGAGCCAGACGAGATCCCACATTTGTGTCAAAGATTATTGTGATTTTTTACTTGTTTCCGTGAGCGAAAAGGTGACTAAAAGGAAGCTTCATCATGATTATTGCAGACATCCAACAGAATGTGAAAAATACGCTTGCAAGCATCGCAGTTGAAGATTTCCCTGCTTGCTTCCAAGATCATCAGATACGTTGGCAGTTTTTACAAATAGCCAAGGGGACTACTTGTATAGCAATCAGGATCATTACTTGGTAAATGAAATTTTCTATTTTTTACGACTTTTGTCCTGGAACGTTTCGGACAAAGCATGTAGATAATATAGAAAATAGCCATGGCTAGTCAAAACTTGATTACAATGCAAATCATTTCTGCTCTACCTTCACCATATTCATAAAATTATTACTTTTGGTGGAGAACAGCCAAAGATCTTTCCACTTTGCAAAAAAAGAACCTTTTCATGTAACTAAATGGGCATTCTTTGAGATCCAGGCAACTCGACAATGCTTAAATCAGCCTGGGAGACACCCCCCTTGGCCAGAGTGTCGGCCCTCTTGTTTCTGTTGAACGCAACGTGTGCCCTTGACCCAGTGTAGTTTAAGCTTTATATAAGGCGAAATGCATTGAATGCACAACTTAACCTCACTAATCAACGAATTTGTATTATCTTGGGCGGGAGAGAGAGCATGATGCAGCGAAAGACAATCGGTATAAATATTAGCTATTGCAGGAAGCAGTAAATGTTTTCTCATCCAAAGTCAGGACTGATACATAGCAGCACATTCAGCTTCATAAAGCGAAAATTGATAAAACTCAGTACCATAATAAAAAAATCTGGTGTGTACACCACATGACTTCCTTGTACGGAATATTTAATTATACGCATTTTTCTCGCATTTCATTTAAACTTATTGGATTGAATTAAATCTACTTCGTCGATAGCGCATAAACTACAATAGAATAATTGCACTCTTTAAAATTCGCTCTATTTTTTCCCATAGCGACACTCTGGCGCTAGGTTCACTTAATACCGTTATATTTTCGTTTATATTATAACTCAGAATGCACAAAATCTGTATCATTTGAAGAATTATCTAATCGTTGCCACATGTTCTATTCAAGTACTATAATAAATCTATAACGATGTATAAAACAAATTGAGCAAACATATACAAACAAAATAAAAAAGTATAAAACAAAACAAAAAAGAAACAGTTTTTCACAGACGATTGTGTATTTCTCATTCAACTAATTCAATTCTCACTTCGGGACAAGACAAAAATACATAAAATCTCAAAATGTCTATATTAACAATTATGAAGTAAATCTTAAACACTTATTTCCTCGAAAAAATTCCAGAGAGATTAAGCATGATTTAATTCGCAAAAATAAATAAAGCCGTTTTCTTTATTGTTTCGAAGCTTAGTCTCTCTAGATTGGCAACAAATCTACTATTGTTCTGTTTCAAATATAAAGAAACATGTCCGCCATCAGCACGATGTCGTCAACATATACGATTAATTTTGCATTTTGGGGTATATCACATTGCAACAGTTTATCGACTATGCTGTTCCAGGACAGGGAAGCTCAGCAAGAACCCTGAGGCCAACCGCAATGAATCTCGAACTCAGACTCCCATTTCCCATAAACAAAACAATGAAACAAAATCTTTCTATTATGAAAATATTCAAAAAAGCAGGTCAAACAAATTCCGTGGTATTTTCATTTCCAACAACCTGCACAACAGTGATGACCAAACAATGGCACCAAAGGTGGAGCTGATATCCAATGATACAAGAGCTGGCATGTTGTTTATTTCTTATGTTTCTTAATAGGTTCAACTACCTCAAAGAAAGCATCTTCGGTACGTCTTCCCGAAAGGAATCCAAACTGATTATCGCAGAAAGGCGTATTCTTAGTAATGTAATAATCTAAAAGTCTGTTGACAATTAATTTATCCAGAACTTCGCCAAAAATATTAATAAGAGGCCTTTGCTTGCCGAGGACGTGGGAAGCAAAATAATCCTACCAATCTTCCAATTAGTAGGGAAAACAGAAAATCGTAAGCAGGCATTGAAGATCTGTAAAATAAAGCCTGATTAACAAAAATATAATCTTTTAAGGAGTAACCAAATGAACTCGATCTGGACCGGGAGCCGCAGCATTTCTTAACTTGGAATGACACATAAAACCTAATTCTGTGTAAGCAGAGGATCGATTTCATTACAGTTAAAAGCACGTGGGGCCAAAAAATCAAGACTCGTCAAAGTACCAAGGTAAAAAATATTGTTTATATATGTCTTATTAGTTTCGTGCCGATCATTACTAGCGTCCTCAGGTCTTTTAACAACTGATCTTACTTGCCAATTTTATAGAAACAGACATAATATTTTACGAAATGGTTAACACAACAATACAACGTAAATACGAAATGGTCTACAACGTAAATACGAAATGGTCTATTAATTTATTTATATTTTCAAAAAAGTAATTACGCTTCTTCATTTTTTTTCCTTCCGGATAAGACTCTTATATAAAGCTAACTCTCATTTGTAAGCAATCTTGCGTGCATTTGTAGACTCCTCGAGTCAGTGAACCTGTGAACTCTTTCTTAATGCTCAAACACATCGCTTAGACCTCTCAAAGCCATCGGTCTTTCAAGAGATCTTTTTTCCCGGTTTTATCTTCACTAATAATTATTTATCGACACCCAACTCTAATAATGATTCAAATTCTTGTAAAGCTCCAGTGGGACGTAACGTTGCTGTTTTCTAAAGAGCGCGACAACACTCCTCCATCTACACAATCTATCGGCTCAAAATGCATTTCTAGATATAACAGAACTTCTCCCATGGTGGAGAAAAAATCAAATAATTATCTCTCAATTATTATGAAATAATTATCTAATGAAATCGGATCGTCTTAGAAATTCTAACTTTAGTTCTTGATTAATGGAAACATCCTAGGCAAGTGCTTTCGCAATAATTAGTCTTGCGACGTTCCAAGAATTTCACCTATAGCATCGCAATACGAATGCTCCCATCTGTCCCTCTTAATCTTTACCTCGTATTCCGAAAACCAACAAAATAGAACCGAAGTCCTATTCCATTATTACATGCACCATTACTCAGGCGTCATGCCTGCTTTTAGCATTCTGATTTTTCCAAAGTAAACTTCCGGTCACCCAAGAAAACCGGTGAAGACAATCAAAGGAAACCGGCTGGCTGTGCAGAACAGGCAGTAACCACCGCTAGGGGGACCATTCATCTGGAACTTTATCATCTGGAACTTATCATCCAACTACAAGCATTTTAACGTTATCAACTTTAACACACGCTATTGAAGGTGGAATTACCGTGGCTGCTGGCACCAGACTTGCCTTCCAATTGATCCTGGTTAAAGGATTTAGAGTGTACGAAGTTCCAATTAAGGAGTGCATGACAATTAACAACCACTCAGAGATTGCCTTCAAAATTCAAAAGCAGCTTTAGTGCCATAGCAACAGTTCCCCAGGTCTTCTACCTTGGAATTAAGGCGCAAGCTGGACATGAATGGAATAAAGTAAATGGCAGCCTTACTAGTGAAATATTGCACAAGAAGAAAGCGCACGCCGTTTCCAGCCTATTTCCAAAACCACATATCAAAACCCACTTAAATCGAGATTCAAAGATACATTAGCAGGAAGACTGTACCTCGATCTCAGAAGGAAAGAG